ATAAAAGTCAGCTGTGTTACAACTCAGAGGTAGCTGCACAGAGGAGGAGCTATAATTGGATACCACAGATTCAGCACTCAGTTGATATACTGTACAATTGTGGCTGTGGTTACTGGCACCCTTGCACTTAAAAGATAAACAATTTTCTCTAATATAAGTATCTTGAAAATATCTGGTCCTCAAAATACTTTGGTTCACTGTGAATTGTATGGAAACTTTGTCTAACATGCATCCATCCTATAACTATACTTCTTATACTAACAAGGGCAGTGGGGGTGTGGGGGCTGATCCTATCCCAGCTGACACTGGGCGAGAGGCGGAGTACACCCTGGACAGGTTGCCAGTCTGTCACAGGGCTGACACTCAGAGACAAACAACCTCTCTCCTATGGGAATTTTAGAGTCACCAGTCAACCTAACCTGCATGTCTTTGCATTGTGGGAGGAAGCTGGAGACAATGGAGAGAACCCACGCAGGCACAGCGAAAACATGCAAACTCTGCACAGAAAGGCACCAGGTCAGCCCGCACTTGAACCCAGAACCTTCTTGCTGTGAGGCAACAGCGCTAATTACTGCATCACAATGCCACCCATAACTTAATATAACCTTGTAAAATATAACACAAACAGACACAGTTACTGATGGCTTAGATTTAATATTTAGCAGCACAGCCTCTGAAAAATATAAGTGCTGTCAAGCACTTCCTATTAACTTCACTGAGGTTCTTACATTGCTTTATTGGACCTCATCAAAGTTCAGCTCTTGGAAAATTTTCGTTCTTGTTCTTGTTTCTTGCATTTCTTTTCCAAGTAAAACACCATCTCTTCGAGAAGATTAAAACAGCTGCAATTTCTGTCAAAACGTGATTAAGCCTAAATCTTTTCAGAGGAAAGTTCACTGGACAGATGAGACCAAATTAGGTTGCTTTGCTGCCTCAGAAGAACAATGTTCTGCACAGTTTCACCAAGTTGTGTCTCCAGCAGGACAATGACCCAAAAAGCACCCAGAAATGGTCTATTACCAACAATAAGTCCTAAATCCCACTGAACACCTGTCAGATACGTTTATGGGTCACAAAATGCAAGTCTGAGTCAAGTCTGAAATCCTTAAGTCACCATTTATTGCAAGAACAGCTTCTCCATTTCAATTTTGCCCAGCATACTTACTGGTGAAGATTTAAAGTACCGGTATAGGAGCCACAGTTACGATACCTTTTAAACATAATGCTTAAGCAGATGCTACCATCAACACTGTAGCTCACAAATGTCATCTACCTATCTGAGCTGTCACCTGAACAATATAAAAGCCTGTGCTGCTGCAGAACCTAACTTTTCTTTTGTTGAATGCTGTGAACTGGCAGATAAATATAGAGACTTAAAAAGAATACAGTTACTGTACAGGGCAGGGAGTACAAAACTAATAAGAGAGCATATTATCAACACAGCATCATTTGACAGCTATTATATATCCTAACAGGTTGTCAGAATATGTGGCCAGTCCATCCAAGTAATGCCAATTTAGAAATCTGCTCTGACAAATGTGAGTACCTGCTACCAGACCAATTAGCAGGCTGCTACAAGTCGGATCAACCAATCAGCGTACAGCATGTGCAGCTCTGCACAATGCACTGTTGGGATTTGGGAGGTGCGCATGTTGGGCCAACTGCAACAATCAGCAATCTACCTTTACCCATAACCACCTTCTCTGCACCGCCTTCTCTTTTCAAGGTGGTAATGTGTTGTGTGCTTTCTAGCAGGGATCCATTATACAGGGTAGTGTGAGTAAAGACACATTGAGTTGTGTTGACACAGTATGACATAAATTTAATTTCAAGCATTTTCTCCCTATTTCAATAATGTGTATGATGAATGCTAATATGTATTGCTGTATACTTGTCACTATTTAAAGTCTCATAATTACAGTGCACTCCACTCTTAATGTGCCTTTTATGTCTCACATGCCTTACAACTGATACATAATGTAAAGAGTTAATGAAATACACACTAAATCAATGGCAGTGCAAGCATTCACACATCTATCAAGTACAGGGACACTGAGTTAGCACCTTATCTCTCTCAGCAGAAACCTATTTCCTTCTGCAGGCAGGAGGAAAAAATGGGACTGTTGTTGGATTAAATCATGAGCAGGTTTAAGGTTGTAGCTTCAGACCAGCCCTTTGGCTGTTACATTGGCAGCTTTATGCTGAAAACACTGGTGCCATTTACTTATATTAAGAAAGAATGAGATGACAGTGAAATGAGAGAGTTGAGTCTAAAATGTTAGAAAAAGTGCTCTGGAGAATCCTATTGGTTTACGCTCAGATTCAAAGTTTTGCCCATATAAAAATACTGTAAATGTTAGGCTGAACAAAAGCCCTGGAGCCAGAGGGTTTTTTTCTGTTTTGTTGCTGCTGAATGCTCAAGATTTTGTTGCACTGACAAAGTTAGCCTTGATGTCTTTTTTGACTTGTTTAGGTGGGTTTACAGATAAAGGTTTCTAGGTGTGTTCATTTTTCATAGTCTGTTTTTTGACATACAGTACAGCATCCTTTTGACTGTGTGTTGGTGTATTGAATTACCCTAACACAGAATTGCCCTGTATGCACCTTGATTGTTGCACCTGGAAAGGTGTGCTTTAGATCGTCAAAATCAGGCCCACAGTGCATCTCTTGAAGAATGTCAAGGTTAGTCAGTTCAAATCCTATAGGCCTAGCCTGACACACTGCAGCAACGGTGTACCACAATGAAGGTGGAAGAAGTGCAATTATGACAAACCATGGTAATTAATTGTTCTCTCATGAACCAGTTTTTAAATGGGGTCAGTTTCCACAGTTGATAACCTGTCTCATTGTACAAAACAAAAAAACCTACTGCTCACTATGTCAGTAGTGATAGATGGTGATGTAGAACTGTAATAGGCCTGCCTGGCCATCTGGACTCTCGCTGGGCATTTAGTCCAAAAATACATACAGTATATAACCTATAAACGGGCCTTAGTGGGGCTGTGTGAGTTCAGGTAGGCTACTTGTGAGACAATGAAATACACCAGAAGAATTAAGCTGTTCATGTTACAGCATGATCCAATATGGACACATGCATGTTAATTTACAAACACTGTTGCAAAAAAAGCTGAGTCAAGATCACCCTGTGTTGTTTTGTTGAAGCCCTTTGGACAGGTACTCCATAAATCCAAGAGCAGTGGTCTCACATTATATAGAATGAGGGGGCTGCCTTCTTGTCCATGCAGAACTAATGGCCCTTAGCCTCTGTTTTTGTACAATAGTGGCTTATGCAGTTGCAGGATACAACGTGTGTGGCTTTATTTGATAGAGATGCTCATACGCAACCTCTCCAAAATCCCCTAAACTGTTCCTTTATATTGAGTGTTACATATCTGATGCTGATGTACATGCAGGGTGAACTGCAGGACCTTTACATACAGAAGTATGTGCATTTCAAAACTGTATCCAATGAGTCATAGTGACAACCAACACAAGTACCATTTCTGCTTGTACTGTACATATTCTGTAAAATTAACAAGATCAGGGCGCTCTCAATTTACTTATACTCAAATACAGTCAGTATGGAAAGTTTTCAGACCCTTTCAAGTTTTTGACATTTTGTTGTTCCAGACTCATTTTAAAAGGGATTCGGTTCAATTTTTCCTCATTATTCTAAACACAATACTCCACAATGATAAAGTGAAAACATGTTTTTGGAGTGTTTTGTAAATGTATTAAACTAAAAGACTGAAATATGCAATTTACATAAGCATTCAGACCCATTTTTATGAAACTTACAATTGAGCTCTGGTGCATCCTACTCTGCCTTTAGAGGCATATTTGAGGTTTTGAGATGTACTGTTCATTCATTTTTATAATATGGCTCGGGCACTACTGCTCGTCACTCTCATTTCTATCATTCTAGCAAAATGGGTAAAAAGTTACTTATTTGTCCATATGAATCAATATCTTATTTGACATTTGGCATTATATTGAGGAAGCATTTGTTTTGTTCATTAGGGTTTTTTTTTTTTACCAATAACATTAAAGTATACCATTTCCACAAACTGCTCAACATGCAATTTGAAAAGAGCACAAGGTTTCCCCCAAGACCACTCCTTGCACTGTGACAGCTAATCATTTCAGCATGCTTGTATTACAGTACTAATAAGGCCAGCTGTGGAAGATTTGTTGAGTTTAACAAGGAGGATGGTTGGCTGGCCAAATTGCCTTCCATCAGATTTTCCCCATAAATCTATAGTCACTTAGCAGAACACATTTAATAATTTGTTTAAACAAGGAAATTGACATCCCACTATGTGGCTTTTCTCCTCAACCTGGGTTCAGGGATAACTCCATGCAGGAATTCAGGAATTCGGTTCTATTAACATGTCACCATTTTGCCTGATAAAAACATGAATACAAATGATATGAATCATATCTGCAATGTTGCCCCTTAATTCAGAGGTTATATTATGTGGATTGTAGATGTTTTCTCATCAGAGTTCCAGGAAGCATCTGTCTGTCATGGCCATCCCTTTGTAAGTTAAGGTTGATGAAGTGCTCTTCATAATTTGAACTGCAATCAGCTGCTGATTTGGCTTGGCCTGATCTAAAAGAAGTAGGAAAAAAAACTCGGTGGCCTTGTTTAGAAAACATAAATCATACAATGTCAGTCACACCATGTTCAGCCAGTGACAGAAAGCACACATTTTTTTTCCAGAAAAAAAAAACACATCTTTCTCCAACCAAACCTCTTTTTGCTAGAGGCTGAAAATATGGTGCAAATGTGGCTGAAGGGTTTTGATAAGTCCATGAAACTCTTCAGATGTAATTTTTTTGCATCAAAACTCACTCTATATATTTAAACCTTTAAATAAATTTTGGTACTAACCTAACTTTCACAGGCTTTGATGTTAGTCAAAGTTGGTGATTATAACATGTAAACTAATATCTTTTTCCTTCTCTGTTTTTTTTTTTTTTTTTTGTCTTTCTCTCAGACCCAGTGATCGGGAGGAAAGCCACGTCTGAAAGGAAAGTCAGTTAGCTAAATCACATCAATCATTACTGATGAGCAGAATTCAGTGGAAACATAATCACCACTGTCTTCACTGACTAAATTGCAGGTAGAGATCTATATTGAAAGTATAAAAGAAATCTGTTGTATGACTCTACACAACTGCACCACTTGCAGTATGATTTGGTAGTCATCTAGGCTCTCTGTACATCTTCTTTGTCACCAAAGAGGATGTTTACATGCACAAAGTATAACAATTCACACCTCACTTCATGTGCTATTTCAAGAGTTACTGTACATATCATATGCAACACATATGTATCTGACAGATATCATTCATAAATGATCACAATAGCACACTGACTTTTTACTAGCATCTTCCTCATCATTCTCATGCTTGGACTTCAGGCTGGTTGTAAAAGGGATACGCTGTACACAGGTGCCATGTCAGATATGTGTCACTCATATGTGTGTACATGTAACTACACTCACTGGAGTTGGTGTCATTTTTATCATCATCATCATGATAGTTACAATTCCCTGTGGAGATGTAAGGTGGTAAAAGAGAAACTAGACAGCAAACTGGAAAACGTCTGATCCATCCCAGAAAACAAAACAAAAAAAAGTACTTGCTTTGGCTTTACTTTTCCCCTCCTGTGTTCCCCTCAGTTTTCCTTTGTCTTTTATATATGTGCATAAAGCAATTTCAAATCCTATAGTTTTGTACATGTAATTTTTATGGTGTGTGGATATTTTCTAATAAAACGAAAATGGATGAATATTTCTGAGACTGGCTGCTTTTTTCTTTTCTTTGTTCTCTCCATTCCGATCTTTAGATAAGCTGTTTGTCTCTCCCAGACAATTTATAATTAACTTGTTTGAAAAGAGCATAAATAATTTTCACAAGGTAACCAAAGCTAGAAGTTTACAGTGAAGGTGAAACATTGTGCATGATAATTTCAAAAAGACAGTAATCTTATGTTTATTTCTACCATATAACTTGAAGGTTACTGAATTTCAACTTTGAAATGCATTAATTACTGTAGTCAAACTGTATCCTGTGGGTGGGTGTAGATTTTATAAACATATTGTATGGACAGAAAAATAAGTCAATCACCAATAATAGAATTGAAAAGAGACAAAAGAGTGTGTATATATAAGAAATACTACATGAAACACAGGTCTGCAGTTTATTGTGTTATTGCAGTGGTCAAAGTTAATCCCCACCAAACGTTTGAGAGCACACTACCTACATTTTTTGTGCTACTGAGTTTACAGGATTTACTGGATTTGTATTAAAGGAATCACTTGTGAGTGCAAGGGAGGATCCCTGCTGTTTCCTCAAATCATCTGTTATTCTCACAATTCTGCCCTCCCTCACACTCAGATCTGTTTCTGCTCTTACAAATCCGTTCTTGCGCACTCTCAAACTCTGTCTTGCAAACCTAATAGCGCTCAAAACTTCAAAACTTTTGGAATCAACAGACTTTCACACAAAAGCCACTGGAGAAATTCAATAGTGCAGACCATTGACTGTATATAAAAGATGGATGAACCGTCCGTGATATCACCCATTGGTTTTCTGTAGATCGGATTTGAAGCTCAAGTCTGGCTGCTGCCATATTGGTAAGTGGCAGAGTGTGAGTGGAGCTCACTAGACAGCCACCTATGGTGGAACCCTCCCGCCTGTCACTAAAAGCGACCATGCCCTTAATTAGGGGTATCATTTAGTCTCAGTATTATTTAAATAGGTGAGTTATATAAAAATTCAGCCCCCATACAGTTGTCATGGTAGAGAAAATTTGCTATAGAGATGAAAACCATTTTTTTTGTACCAGGCCATAAAAATGCTTATTTCTAGTGTAAAGTTTGGCATTTTAACACAGGAGTCTATGGGGACTGACTCCTTTTTGGAACCAGCCTCAAGTGGCCATTCAAGGAGTTGCAGGTTTTGACACTTCATTTCTCAGCCTTAGAGGTTGCCAATTGGTGCAGACTCAGAAACGATCACATGCATGGCCAGGATTAAATCTTAAATCTGATTCTTCACTTACAAATCCGTACATGCATGCTCTCAAATGTGGAGTTGCAAACCGAGTAGCACTCAAAATGTGGTTTGGTGCCCTCAAACATTTGGGGAGGATCTACGTTCATAAAGAAGACTCATAAAGAAGGCTCTCTGATCAAATGATCAGCCTTTAACCATTTCTTACTGATGCTGTTGCTTACCCTATGCTGAGATAGTAACAAAAAGCTTTCCTGCACGTGACCAGATGAATGAATCACTGGAAAATCCATAGTTACCCTGGAAATGCTATCTAATGTGTCCCTAATCATTAACTAAAATCAGTTTGAAATAACAGATATAAGCTTTATGTAAAGCCCTATGTGCACTGTGCTGCTGCTCAATGCCTCAAAAAGCAACAGCTTGCAAAATGTGAAGTCTTGTGTATTCCTTTCTTCCTCCCAGTTGTTAATGCTTCCTGCGAACGCAACCTAAATCTGTCTGGTTCCTCCTGTCCCCGCTCTGCCATTAACAAGTCCGATCACTTATCCTCCCCCTCCACTTTTCTCCCTCTCCTCCCTCCACTAAACTCCAATCTCCTCATCTCTCCATCTCCTGCCTGCCCTGTTTCTCCTCTCAACATTAATGCCCATTCTGTTCTACACAGCTCCATTCTGCTCCCCAGATCCACTCCATTCCTCAGTTCTCTACTGCTTAGTTCTTGGCAAGCAGCCACCACCAGATCAGTCCCTGACCCCCTCCAATCTCACTTTCTCCTTTACTCTCATCACCACCTGTTAACTCTATTTCCCAATTTCCTCTCCCTTTGTAGTTTTAGTTTTTCTTCATAAGGAACTGATGAAGCAGAAAGAATTATTTTGTACAATGAACGGGGTGTAATGAAAGGAAAAGTAAAATATAGCTTCCTTAACACAAGTAGAATAAGGCAATGTCTGTTCTAAGAGTGCCATCAAAGGGAAACAGAAGAAAAAAGGATGAAGGGGGATGAACACACAGTCATCTCATGAGCTATCAGCAGCTGTAGAAAACATGGCACCTGGGGTCTCATTTTGAGAAAGATCCTAATATTAAAATCTGATTCATGTTTTACTCTTGGAGCTCTATAGCAGGGAGTGAATGTGATTATACTGCGAGAACAACAGAGCACAGTAGAAAACAAAGTCATAAACATCGTGATGAGTCATTATTTTCATTATGAATTAACAACAACAATTAAATGGTCACCGCTGCATGTTTACATGCTCTAAAGTTTCCCTCCAAGGAATATGAATAAACCAAAAGGCATTTAAGCTGACAACATCACATCATAATCACCATGATACTGTATACTACAAATAATGAGTTCTGCTACTGAATTCATTAATTAAGCCACATATTTATGTCAACATACTTTGAAAGGTATTAATATGAACAATCTTACAGCATTGGCAAGTTCCTGGAAACTTATTTTTTGCTCATTAATATGTAAATCTATGCAGCAAGGTGCTCCAAATTTAATCAGACAATCTTCTCTACAGGGGCAGTGGTTCATGTACATACTGAATTTCTGTCATGTACTCTTAAAAAAAACATGAATATGACAAATGTCAGTATGATGGTGTTCAAAGAAAAAAGAAATATCAAGAGCACTGGAATGTCTGTCAGAGTGTCCCTGGCTTGTTCTTAGTTTAAATTAACTGCATGGTTAGAATGAATATTTTAGCCTTGAGTGAGAATCCTTGAAAACATCTTATACACACACAAAGGGGTGTAAAGGAAATTATGTCGTGAAGGCTGCTGAAGTTGAGGTGGGCTGAAGTGACTTGATTTCCTCCATGCCTGAGTGACTTCTTCACCATTTGCTCTGTGTGCCGTTACCACTTGTCTGACTGCTTCCTGGGTGACTGAATGATTTATTTCTACACTGTGACTAAATGAAAATTGTTTTTTTTTTTTTACCCCCCCAGATTTCAATTTCCTGTCTGAGCCGTACTCGGTGACTGGTTGTTTTCTGTTTTTGTTTCAAGATATTTTCTCCCATGCTGGTATAGTCTCAGTGAGCTGATACAGGGAAAATTAGAAAGGGCAGCACTGCAAGACATGCAACCAACATCCTAAGATAAACTTAAGCCCAGGTTGTTGGGCTGAATCTCATTTGCAAGTGTATATTTCCTCCTCATTCACACTCAGGGGAGCCCACCGCTACAGTATGCCCAGATGTGTTATGCCTTTGAGGACTGCCTTCTCTCTGATGTCGGCTGCTCAGGTGGAGACTGGCCAGCTCGAGTTGGTTTTCTTGCAATTTCTTACCACATTAAAGTGTGAAATGGTTTTGACAGATGGAAAATGTAAATGGAATTAAGACCGTCTGCAAATGTTAGCTATTTTAGCTATTTTAGTGTTGAGACTGAGTGGGGTAAAATGCAACTACCTGCTGTGTTTTAGGGCTGCATTGGTCGGCCAAGCTGAAGTCCACAAAGAGGGCCCTGGGGAGTCGAGGTGTCGCAGGATGTAATGCAGTGCCATGTTGACTGCATCATCCACTGACCTGTTTGCCCGGTAGGCAAACTGCAGGGGGTCCAGCAGGGGGTCTATGATGTCCTTCAGGTGGGTCAACACTAGCTTCTCAAAGGACTTCATAACTACAGATGTCAGGGCGACAGGTCTCTAGTCGTTCAGTCCACTGATGGAGGTTTTCTTGGGGACCGAGATGATGGTGGAGCATTTGAAGCAGAAGGGGACTTCACACAGCTCCAGTGATCTGCTGAAGATAAGTGTGAAGATGGGGGCCAGCTGATCAGCACAAGCTTTCAGGCAGGAGAGCCCAGTGCCTTTCTGATCTTTAATCTTTAAAAAAAAAAAAGGCCATGCAAGATGCATTAAGTGACTAAATGTAAATGGGTCAAAGGTGTAGATCCTGTAATGACCACTGGATGCTGATTCTACTGTAAAACAAATTATATGACAGACACATTCATGCAAACAGTTTGGATCTCATCACTAATTTGTCTCTGACAAATGACTTTGTTTCATTCAGAAAAAAAAACGAGCAACATTTGGGAGCGTGTTTGCCTGAAGAATTTCTCAGCCACATCTCAAATCCATCAAGGCTCCATTTTTTGTCCACATTTGAATTTTCCTAACAACTGAGGAACTAAGATGAAAACAAATGATAAGTACTTTTTAACAGAATATGTTGACACTCCTTTACATACAGTGTCTCCATAGTAACAGAAGATGAAATGATGAGGGGTTGACACTGTTTCATTTCTGTTTTTATGCCACTTCACTCCCCTCTTTGTCCTTCCATGCTCATGTCCCTCCACATGATGCATATCACACATCGCACAGAGGCTGCGTACCATAGTGGTATGCATATCACACATCGCACAGAGGCTGCCTACCATAGTGGAGTAACATTAACACATGACTGAAATGAGATTCAGCTGATGTCAGTTGCTGCATGTGCCCAAGCCAACTGAGCCACCAAGTGTCCTCATGTTTTGTGACGACTTGGTGCAGAGGGAGAGAATGACTCCCTAAATAAAACTACCTGTCTACAGTTTATCTGGCTCTGTCTGGTGTTTTAGTCACTCAGTGAGTTATTTTCATTGTTGATTAACAGATTGTGAAAAAGGGATTAAATTAATGGCCGCTTCATGTTCTGCCTTTTTGACTGCTATATTATACAACTCTATATTATACAACTAAAGAAAGTTTATATGAATGTTGCGCTG